TTTTTAGTAATTCTCTTAATTGTTTAGGTGTAACTTAAATAGATCATACTTTTTTAGCTGACAACAGCTACTTTTACACAGTTACAACAGTTTACAACAGTTAGTGTATTAGTTTATTAGTTACAACAGTTAGTTTTACAACAGTTACTTTTTTAGGTATCCGTGCACCGGAACAAACAAATTTTGTTTCTGTACTATAGCTGTTCTAGTTTAATGTATTTATCTTAGATTTTTATTGTAAATTAACTAAATCTACTTAATTTCTATGCTAAACTATTTATTTTATAAAATATAATTTATAATTTTAAAATGTTCCTTTAGTCACTGCTATTCGTGAAGCAGCTGAGAGGTCCGCATAGTTCGCCTATTCACCGCTAGGCGCCAAGTAGCGTAGAGGTCCATATTTCCCCTAGTCACCGCTAGATTTCTCTTAAATCGACCACAGTTACTCACCGTCGATTGCTTTATTATTTCATTATTTAAATAGTTATGAAACTAAACTAACATTAATATTGTTTATATTTAGCTAACAATAGAAGTTGAAAGTCAAAATTGATTGACAATTTTGTGGTTTTTAGTATATTAGTTTCCTAAACACGCTATGTCCCTGCTAGACTCTCGCAGCGTTTCTAGAGTAGCTATTCTAAGACATGCCGATTAAGCTGGTGAAGTTACATTCTCTTATTCTCTTCATAACCTTATAACACTCTTTGAAAAGCCGAGAGTCGAATCCTTACTTGGTAAGTCGGACTCGATGATTGGCTTATAATCTTGATATGTGTGAATAGCCGTTATTTCGTTAGCGTTGTTAAATTTTAAATCTCACCGCTCCGCGCTTACACTGAAGGAGGGCTTTAATTATCCTATGAAAATTGAATACGATGCCTAAATCTACTTTGAGTTCCCCCGATAATTATCCTTAATTTTTTATGAAGTTGGCGGTCTCTTTTAACTTTGCATTTGCCCGTCCACATGGACTATGGGAATCTGTGCGTGGAACGTTCCACGCGACGCAAAAGCAAGGGGCGAATCCGTATGTACAGTACAAGCATGAACTGTACGGTAATAGTAGTTTACGCAACGATTGCGTTAAGTGAGTCTTTGCGACACGAGTAGAAAATTTAAGGCACGAGCCTTGGCGAGTGCCTTAAAAACTTCTACGAGTGTCGTAAAGACTATTAACGCGAGTTGCGTACACTACTTTACCTACGACCGTTTTTTAATTACTATCAATCTGGATTTAATTACTAACAATCACTAATGATAACTTTTTAGAGAGGTTATGTTTTCGTGTATTGTCATTGCCACTGAAAGTGATGCAACGACTTGTTGTATAATCAGCTCATTTCCTGTAATTACGTGTTTGTTAAACTTCGTTAAATATTACATTGCTAGCAGCATTCTTACCATAAATAATATTGTATCAGGTACAATTCGGCAAATATTTCATTTATTTTTGGACTTCCACCAACTTAATTAAGAATACGCGAGTATCAACATGAACAAGTCGGATCAACAATTAAATTGGTCAACTGATCAGCTGATTAGTTGACGTTCGAAGCATTACAATTTTAATTCTTTTCTCTCAATACTTGAACCTCATTGGTTCGTTACCTGTGTGGATATGAGAAAACTATGCGGATATGAAAGTAAACAGCTGTAAATTGAAACTTTTCAATTCTAAGAACTAGACTGAAATGGCTACTTTAAAAATCCTGAAGCATGCCCCCCCTATGCCGTGATACAACCAAATCTAGACTTAAACTGCAGACAATCTGTTGTGTTTTTATCATGATTGATTTGTAGCAAACGGATTGATGTTTAAAAATTAATAATTACAACTTATGTCAATCAATCCAGTATATTTTGGAGGACGCACGTTTCGACCTTTAGGTCATTTTCTGCTCCGCTGTTGTACTAGGTTATTGGCACTTAGTTGCATTGTTGGTGTAGCAACCGCGTCAAATAGTTTACATTGAGAAGCATAGTCTGACCACGTAAACACAAAAACACGACACTGACGAAAACATTTAGTAAAACTATCACCGTGCGCACGCGGGGCTATAGAATACAGGTGCGCACGGCTGAACGGGCTCGGGACTGCGGCGGCACTCTGAGTGCGCACGGTGATAGTTGACATGTTATAAATTTCTTTTTGAGCCTAATTGCTACTCAAAATGGGGGATTTTGGGGGAAAATCAACAATTTTAAATGCTAAGCCCCATCGAGTGACCCCTCATTTTGAAGGTCGTGATAAAGGAAAACTAACAACGCAAACAAGAAGTCTCTATCTCAATCCAGTAAAAAATGGCGGCTGATTGAAATCATTAGAAATCAGAATTTAACTTGCAATTTTATTTTCAATTGGCTGCCATATTTTACTGTGTTAAAATAGAGATCTCTAGTTTTCGTTGTTAGTTTTCTTCATCACGACCTTCAAAATGAGGGGTCACTCAGTGGGGCTTAACATTTAAAATGTTTGAGTTTCCTCCAAAATCCCTCATTTTGGGTTTGGGAACCAAGTAGCAATTAGGCTCAAAAAGTTTTTCATAAGATGCCATAACGGTGTGTAGAGTTTAATTTTCCTAGTGTGAGCCGATACAAAATTTACAGGGGGTCTCCAGACTTGGAAAACTGTAAGTTACATTTAACTTCTGAGAATTTAAATTGGCAGCCATTTTTACTGGATTGAGATAGAGACCTCTAGTTTGCGTTGTTGGTTTTTTTTTAACAGGACCTTGAAAATGAGGGGGTCACACAATGGTTCTTACCGTTTGAAAGTTTTGAGTTTTCTCCAAAATCCCCCATTTTGGGGATGTACACCAAGAGGCGGTTATGCCCAAAAAGTACTTGATAACATGCCATAGAGGTGTGCAGAGTTTAGTTTTTCTAGTATGGGCCGTTAAAAAATTAACAGGGGGTCTCCAGACTTTTTAATAACCCTGTATTTATATATAGGCTACATATTATTTTATATGTGTGAGTTCCTGCTGCATTAGCTGTGTGGGCATCACACGCGTTCACCCAATTTTCTCGGAAAATACATTAACCACTGTGTGAACTTGGTTATGACTGACTAGTGGAGTGGCGCTCCTACAGATTTTTTGGTGAATTAGGAAAGCTGATGACTGCTACAGCAATGTAACTTGAGTGTTTGGGCTTCCAAATCTCCAGTTAAAGTTATTCCGTGTACAACATTTCCTAATATGAATAACCAATGAATAATTTTAATAACCTCATTATTTCGTGGAAAATAGGATAATAAATATAATAAACGGATTATAACAAATAATTATCATATTAAAATTTTACATAAATATTATTTAGTGATAATTCCATAAAAAAAAAAAAAAAAAAAAACAATTTGTAAGAAGGTCCATGGTGTCAGAACTATAAGGTAAAAATTTGATTACAAAAATAAATAGATCAAACCATTGACTAAGCAACACAAGGGAGTATGTTTTTTTATCTATGATCAAACTTATAGTATTTATCAAATTAAACTTAAATCATTGAATTCATTGTTATTATGCTAATACTCGTCTATGCACAATAATAAGCTTCGGTTGACATGCTTCGACCATGAGTCCACCCCTCAATACAATAATACTCGTCTCAAAGGGAGTGAGCGAGCTGGTCTAATCAAATCAAAATCTCTTTATTAATTTTGAACATACATACAAGAATAGTGACATAAAACTTATATTCAAAAGGCACTATGCTTTAACAACTAATTTCAACAGTAATTAGTTTAACAATAATTTAGTCAACAGTTTATAGTATAGTTTGATTCATAACAAAACAACGAACTGAGGAAAGTCCTACAAAAATATTTATGATAACCCAACTTAACATAGCCGCAGCGCACTGTACAAGGGGCCTCCGGATAATACCAAAGTACCGGATTTTGTTGTACAAATTTCACCAACTTAATTCTGTTCTATAGTTATAGCTGTATTATGTATTTATTTGTTTTGAACTGTTGAAAAACATAAGATTAGTTTTATTGGAACTAAAAAAATAGACTATTCCTCCTTAAATAAGACTAGATACTTTTTAGTTGCTCTGTACAAGCCAATGATAATTTTTTGACGATGTTATTAAATTAGAGTAATCTGCATATACTACAAGTTAACTGCTGATACAATTATTATTATTTATGACTGAGGGGATACCGTTGTAGCAAAGAAATAATAAAGGTCCAAGAATGCATCCTTGAGGAACACCATAATCAGTGGTAAGAGCTGATGTGGAATATTTATTTATGGCAATTCTATCATCTTTAAAAGATGTAATTTAAATATACTGAATTAATAATACAAGATAAAAACTCTAAAGATACTTTTTTAAACCACGACTTTTAAGTTCACACTACAGTATTGTGTGTGAGATACTGTCAAAAGCTATTGTTAATGTAAATAAAGTGAAATTGAATTCCAATGAAAAGTGCTTTAAATGTGATATTATGTAAGATATAAGAGGTCCTGCCTAGTGCCTCGTGGAGCAGTTTCATCACAAGCCTCTCCATGAGGTGTTTTGGTTCTTTGTGAGATAGCACCCAATGGATGAGACAGCATGTTTTGACTCTGCATACAGCCTCGGCTGGTAAAAGTCCAGCAGAATCCTGAAAAGAGGAGATACGTTCCAACTTCCCGCGTATGGATTCCATTGACAAAACAAACTGCGCTTTTTTCCTGCCTTTAAAAGTTGTTCCTTCTGCTGCTGCGTAATGCTGTTGCTGTATGCAGGAAAGCAGTATACAGGACTCAACACCAAAGACTGAACCAACATTAATTTGGCAGCCTCTGGAAGAGTTAACGGAATCTGTACAGTCCTCACAACTGTCCCAGTGCGATGTGATATCTGCTTGGTCTGCATGTTTGTTATAAAGGGGTATTACTGACAGGGATTTCAGGAGAGTATATATTTACAACCATTGTTTATTACAAATGTTTATTAAAAAATAGTTAACATTCAAGTAACAAAATATAATACACACACTAAAATAATTTACCAATTTTATTATTTGAAAACGATTGTCTTAATTTGGTTGGCTTCATTCATTGCAATATCAATGTTGAAATATTGCAATGTTATTTAAATTATTTGTCTTAACCAGTGAATATTTTCTTAAGGGGGGGGGGGTCTCAATACAGTCAGTACTTATATGATGTAAAAAATGTAGATTTGCGGCGGAACGGAGTTTCGGTACCTCTCTTTTGGAATGATAAAAATGTCGGCACATATAGGTATATAAATAGGTTCAAGTTCCAGCACCTAATTTTTACAAATAGAGCACTGTGTTTGTATATATATATATATCTGCACATTATGAAGCATTATAGAGTTTGACACAAAATTGTGTATCCCTAGGGGTAAGTTTGGTTTCAAATAAAAGAACATTGATATCTTTAACCAAACTCACCATTTCCAAGAATTTCTGTCAAAAATTACATCTGGGCTGTAAATTTATACCCTTACGAAACATGAGCACAGTTATGACATTTATAACACAGAGTACTATAAAATAGATGTCCTATTATCTATAAATAGTAATACATTTTTTCCTGAAACCATAAATATATCATTGATTTTATAAACAAATTCATTTCCAAATCTGAAAAATATCACCCAGTCTAAAAAATGGTGGTCCTAAAACCATAAGTACAGCTTACAAACATTATACACGTACACGTTGTTAACAGATAAAATGATGTGAATAAGTGTTAGCAAAACAGTGTGATCACAAAGTAGCACTTTTACCATTTGTATTATGCTCTTTATGCTTTAGTATTTTTTACTCATATAACCTGTTTTTGGAAATAGGATTTTAGAGCAGCAGTCTATATTAATATAACTTTCACCAATGTTTAAAGCTAATCTTGAGGGTTAAAACAATATGGAAAGAGTAAGTCCTCAAAAGCAGGGCAGGCTAGAGGGTGGGGGCAGGGGGGCCAGAGCCCAGGACTCTAGCGGGGGCCTGGCTCGATCAGATGTAGATTTTTTTTCTGTACATGTAATCTGCTTGAGTTAAACAATTTTAGCATGGTTTACCAGTTTACTAAGTAATTTTTGACTTGAATTGTTTTGACTGTGAATAAAGCTGCAACTGTGAGCAAACATTTGAGTTATTTCATATTTGTGTAACAAAACAGCACGGAGGCGGCTGGACAGTAATTTATTCTCGTGTTTAATACAGTATTAGTTACGCAGCAAAGGAACTATTCTGTTCTAATAATATTGAGATTGCCAAGGCATCTCACAAAATCATAATTGTATAACCCTATTATTATTAGAAAAGCGTTTCTGTTCAATTTCACTCATGTAATCAAATAGAACCTGATATGCTGCATTATTTCAATATTTTTATTTTGAATTTAATTTTGTATGCCTTTGGCATTTTTAACGTGTCTTGTAAGGGAACTGTCTAAGGATCTAAGGCATGTTGCTGAGTGCACAGATCAGTAGTAAATACAAAGGCTCTTTTTTTGACTCCCATCATTACAAAGGTCTCTTAATTTTTATTCCTCCCTAACTTAATGTCACACTTCATTCCTTAATAACTGGAGAGCTTTTTCAATATTAATTAAGTGTAAATCAGATTTTGTTCAACTATTTGAACCAGTTTTAACAATGCTAACTTACCAAAAGGCCTATAATATTCTCAAATATTAAAGACAAGACATTTTATTACTAAAGACACTAACAATAACACGTGGTAAAAGGGGTAACTGATACTTTAAATAAAAAAAACACAAAGAATGGACGTTTTGATTGGTAAAACGTGTAACTTTTATACTTAAATCATAAAATGTCTTGCCTTAAATACATTAAGTCACAAAAACACAACATTACAGCAAACCTGCTCACTAGGAATGATTCCAGTGAGTTCATTTTAATACAAGCTTTATGAACAAGTACACTATAAAATAAAGCTTACACTAAGATCAACGCCGAGTATGAAAAAAACACAGTCTTTTCAACAATAGATGCTACTCTCTGAACAGGTTTTGCTTACACTCAATTTGCATTAAGGTAAACATACAAACATCAATAAACATATGAGAACATTAAAAAATACAATTAATTTTTATTTCTTCCATTAATATATAATTTGTATGTTTGAATATAAGGAAACATATAATTTATAACACTCAATAAAGCTTCCAATAAACATCAGCAAAATATTTATCAACAGTTACCATTTATCTCAATATAACACATAGTTGATAATAACTCAGATTCATCAGTGGCGGCGATAAGAGCCCGCAGGCCCCCCGCAAGTTTGTTTGCCGGGACCCCTCTCCCAATAATCTTTAAAAACATGTTTACATGTATTACCGCCTATACTTGCATTTTTGCAATAAATTTGACAAGGCATCTCCCGAGGCGTCATCTTCGTCTTCCATGATCGCGTCAAAATCGTGAATACTTTCCGTAGTCATGGGAGAAACATTATCATAGTCTACCGTGATTGCAAATGTAACCAAACCTATGACATCACCAGATAGCAATATCATCGTCTCCCGCGTTCACGGCCCAATCTAATATCACGGCCTAATATCGTGGCAGAATCCTAGATATATCTCTTGCTGAAAATGAAACGTCTTTATCGTCTTCTGCAATCGCGGTAAAATATTGAACATCTCCTGCGGTCGCGGAGACATCGTCATCGTCACCCGCGGGGAAATGTTCTCGTCGATATCCACGATCGCGGCAAAAGCGTTGGCCTAATCTTTCAATTTCATGAGCGTGAGTGATCCTTGCGGACATAAAAGCTTTTACTTTTATAATTGAGCATTATTGTATTGAGTAGGCCTACTGAGAAAATCGCCGGAAAATCGGTTCGAGCTTGATTTTCTGAGTTTGTTTATTTCTTGATCTCCCAAGCTTGTAGGTCAGGCTCTGCTCGGCTGGAAAATCGACATTATATTATAACAAATCAACCATTTCAAAACAAACTGATTTTGAACCGATCTGATTTGGCCTAAGGCTTATAGGTAAGTAACATTTTTTTACCTGACTCGAAGTAAACAAATCTAAAGTGCGAAGTAAACAAATCTAAAGGGCAGCCTCCTAATAGTAAGAAATTAAATTAAATGAAAATCCTTCTTTAGCATCAATGGAAGAATATAATTATGCGACCTAGGTTAATTTGCCGATTTGATCGTTAAAAATAGGGATGGTCAAGTCTCGAAATTTCGGGAAATTTTAAATCTCGTTACACGAGACGAGATTTTTTTTTGGCCGAGATTTTTATCGAGACGAGAATAAAAAAAAAAAAAAATTAAAAACGCCTGCAGAAAGTCAATGCAATACCCGCAATACAGGAGCGTGTTGTAGTTGCGTTTCCTTTGCGAAGGCGTTCTTATTAATTAATTCTTTAAATGTAAATATTACTTTAATTATTTTAATAATATTACTTTAATAACATTTTAGAAGTTTTGTTAAGTGTAAGCAGTGTGAGGAATGTTTTATTACTATAAAAAGTCAAAACAAGTACCTAACTATTTTATAAAAATTAATATTGCTTTTATTTTATGATTTATTTTATTTTAGGATAAGTTGAACTCTATCCTAAATGATATCACTATGTTTCCTAATCGTAGGCATTTTTAATAAGTTAGGCGTGATATTAAAAAAATGTTATGCTGATGTTTTTTAATAAAAGATTGTAAATATTCTTGCCTATTATCATTATTTTTGTATTTAAACAGTCATCTAACAATGTTACAAAATCAGGTAAACATTTTGAACGTGCATTTCCCGTTGTGTATGAGAAGGGAAATCCCGTCTCGAAATTTTATGAGAAATAAAAAATCTCGTCTCGTCTCGAACTAAAAATCCAATCTCGTCCATCCCTAGTTAAAAAAATTTTCAAGTTCATTTGGTTGATTTAGCATAGAGGGCCGTCTCTGGTGTGACCCGCCGGGGGCTAGGACATAGACATAGACTAAGCAACACAAGGACGACAGTTGATGCAACCTGCACGACTGTTGACAATTCTTTTACTTAGGTTGGTAGAGAGTTTATATCGATCGGTCAAGTAATAGTGACAGTTTAGCAGTCATAAGCTACTTGTCCTAGTGCTCTTGGTGGTTTGAACAAAATTTCGTCATGAAAAAACGTATGGTAATTCTCATATACTTAAATATTGTTACACAATAGGGGACCCGTGTGGCTGAGCCTGTCGCACAATCGCGGGCCCGTGTCCCGGTAAAATTTACTGAAAAATCCCGGTCAAGGCTCATGCAAGGGCCTCCCTAGCTCGCGGGCCCGCTATCGCCACCACTGAGTTTCATGATGATAGACTGAAACATCAAACATCAAATTATACATAGATTTTTCAGTTGTTATACAGAGTGTGTATTAAAACTTCATAATGCTGTTTTTCCTACATTTACAAAAATTTGCTGGAAAATAGAAATCTGCTTAACATTTTATGCCAGTTAATAACTTCAATTGGGTATAGCGACACACTTTGTATACATATTGCAAGCTAAAAATTCCGCAAGAAAGAGGGAGTGGATTAGATAGCTCTGTTTCAGACCAAGACTTACTGTTTTAGCAGTTGAATTTCCAAGATGTTTAGTTTATCCTGACTTCCTAATGAACTGATTGTGGCAGTATCAAGTATATTCTATATGATTACCACAAGGTTTACCATTTTTAATGTTTAAAACTATTATGATTCACTTGGATTGGCATTTTCTTTTCTCGCCATCTATAACAGAACACATTACATTTGGTCACTTCTCCATGAACAAGGTGTATTTTTTATATTATTTTCAGTCATGAAATTATAAAATTTGTATGAACAATTTTTTCATCTAGCTTTCCGATCTAATTTCTTTGTAATCTAAACAGGGAAACACATGAATGATAAAATAAACCTGCGCCAACAAACCACACTTTTCGAAAAAATTGATTTTTTGCATTTCATACTGAAAAGCTGAAAAAATACAACAAGACAAAATCTTTTGTACATCATTGAAAACACAAGTGCAAACTGGACACAGCACATCTGTAAAACTTAAGGCAAAACAAAGTTTGTAAACTAAATTGTTTTGAGAAGTAACAGTTTCAAAATAACTAAATATATATATATAAATAGTCATCACAACTACACTTGATGGAAATAAAAATCGTGATGAAAATTTGACCTTTTGAGTTATGCGACCTATGGCCTACTGTATTTTGGTTGCAAATACTGTACATAAATGTTATATTACCGATAATTCAAAACTGGGTTTACCTTAGGGACAACTGAGTTATTTTCTTCATTTCCATCTAACTCCTTGGTACGTTTAACTTCTTTAGTAGAATCTCCTTTGCTGTTATTAAAGTGATTTTCAATATTTTCCCCATTTAAGTATTCTTCAAGAGTTTCCTTGAATTTTTGAAGTGCTAATTCTTGGTTGTAATTACACTGAAGTAAAATCTCCAAAGCCTGGAAATAGAAAAACATTGGTTATTGCATAGGCTTATGAGTAAATTAATTATGGACAGTTTTTAAACATCATACCATGAGAGTCTAAGTTTTACAGGCGGTTCTTCATATGACTTGTAATTTTGTCAAATTTAATGAACACAAATCTCTTTTTGTGTTTAAATACCACAATGTGCACATTGTTCAGTTCTATCCGTCTATCAAAAGTTAATTTAGCTGAGAAAGACAATGACTTAACATTTTGATAATTTGATTGATTGGTATTGGTGGAATTTTCAGCCTTTTTGGACAAGGCCAATAAACTCAACAAGTGAAGAAATACTATGTTTGTTATATGATATGCCTAATATAAAGCTATTTACTGCCTCAACCACAAAATTCTAAGAAACAAATTGATTGCCTATGGAACTAAAAATAAGGCCCTGAATTGGATCATGTCCTACCTAAAAGACAGATATCAGATTGTAACATTAAAACATAGAGATGAAAGCAATAGTACAAATTCTTAAAGGTAAAAAAATCCGAACCAATTACAGACGCACCACAGGGCTCAAATTTGGGACCCATTTTGTTCCTCCTCTATGTGAACGATATACAGGGACGGATCCAGGAGCCTACTTTGAGGGGGGGGGGCTGATGCTGGGTTTTTTGGGGGTGGAATACCCCCCGGCAAAGAGGGGGGTTTGATGGTTCTCCCCCAAAAGATTTTGAAAATTACTTTCAATCTGACCATTTTACACAATATCACTACTAAAAAATCTCTAAAAAACCTGGTAAAATGTAGAGCGGTAGGAAGAACTATCCACAACATGTGACTTTTAATCATAACTTACTGAAGTCAAAATGAATTACGTTCTACACTACTGGCTTGACAACATGATATAGTCAATATTTCCATGTTATTTTTCATTTAATTTATCATAAAAAATATGTTTTAAGTTTTAGTTAAGTTTTTGTATGCTTGAAAATGAACAAAAAAAGCATAGCTGCCAAAAAGATCATTTTGATAGATACAGGTAAGCTAAACTTTTTTTTCTAATTTTAATCTAGTAATCCAAAGGTCAACAAAATCATGAACTTGTTCTTTATTTGTTTTAGCGAATTTCCCTATAGGGAAGTAGCTATTACCGTAGGTGGCATGGTAAGACCTAGGTGCGGGACCAATTTACTTTTTCATTTTGATGTCCCCAGAGGCCAAAAACACCATTCGTTCAAATTTTTATATATGTATATATATATATATATATATATAGATATATATATATATATATATATAGATTTATATATATATATATATGTGTCCGTGAACACGATAACTTGAGTAATTTTTATCCGATTTTGATGAAATTTGGTTTGAAGGTGTAAGGCAGGATAAACTTGAATGAGTTCGCGAACCAGCATGATCGGACCATGGGAACGGGGTTTTACGGGGGGTTTTATGGGGTAAAAATGGGTTTTTCTAATTTTTGACCCTACAAACGAAAAATTTCCCAATTTCTCTTCAGACCTTCTGAAAGAGCTTAAAAAAACAAATAATTTAGTATATCAAAGTGTTTTTGTACTATTATTAGTTACGGAGAAAATTCAAATAATTGTTATTTTAAAATTCCCATGTTATTCTTATGGGGAATATTGTAAAATGTTGTAGTCTGCTTGTTTATGGATATATTTTGATCAAACTTGGTAAATTTATTTATTTTATACTAAGTTATTAATATTTCTCTAAAAAACACACTTTTTTACCCTCCCTGTAGCAGCAAGCCTATGTACTCATTAAAATTAATGTTTATTAAATACATTTAATTGAAAATCAATTCAGGCAACTGGAAATTCGCTTAGTCGGCAGGTTTGCTGCGGCGGGGGTATTTTTGTTATAAACTGTCATACTTGTTTTTTAAAATAAAAAACACTAGCAATATTTTTTATTTAACTATCATTTTCCAACAACAAACCAGGTTTGATGAATAATGACATATTTTTAACAAGTTTATTTTTGTTACAATAATTTAACATATATACAAATATACAGATGGAGAATTGTTTTTTTTTCCAAGTTTAACCTTGACAACAAACTACAGTTTTATACAACAATTTACCATAATGTTGTCATTTTTACAATATTTATATTTGTGTTATGAAGAGTTGGCAATATGTTTTGCATTTGTGACCTGACTGCGATCAGGCGACTGTGACGTCATATCGTATGTTTTCAATAAAGCTCCCAGATTGGCTACACCCTATCACGCCACTTTTCCCTCCATGTATCAACCGCCGATCCAAAAGTTTCCTTCCTCTCCAGTCCTCAAAATGTCAGCAAACCGTAACCATGTAGTTGGCCAGGTTTTATTTCACTCCCAAATGGTGTTGTTATTTTAATTATTACACCCAAAAAGTTCCACAAACGACAACATTGTATCATAAAATAGCCCTTTCGAAGCAGGTTGGTCCATTACAAGTTTGATAAATTTGTCTTTAATTTGTTTAGAACTTCCACAGCTGATTACCATCCCAACAAGATCACTTTATGCATTATTCTAAATAAATACTTGTGTAGATACCTCACCTTTTTGTTGTCTCTGTTCTTAACTCTTTGACTCATGGCTTGGTGTACAATTTCATTGATCCGACCCAAGTAAGCCTCTACATCCTGTTCACTAAGCTCTTGAGAAGGTCTCCACAGTAGTTCCTCGTCGTATTCTTCTGAATCTTCATCAGCGAAATTGGTGGCGGTCGGCCCCTCCGGTACCTCTGCTTGATATGAGGGGCCTACACGAATTTCCTACAAATATTTCATAACCGACATCACCAAGATTCACAATTTTATCGACTCTCAAACAGCAAACATAAATAGGTTACACCAGTTGGTGAGTAAGCCACTACCAATAAATCAATAATGATTGTTAATATTATTATATCGTTAATGGTGGTGGAAATTTCTTCCACATTTGTCAGTGATGATAACATCAATCACAACTAATAGGGCTACAAAACGGATAGTCATTAGCAATGACACTAGTCTTGTTTTTGCTTTCCTTGATAAATTATCAATAAATGACCATTTACAATAAGTTTATTTCATACCACAGTTGCTTTCAAAATACTGTTAAAGTATTCCTGTAATAAAGTGTTTCTCCAAATGTTGAATTGTTTCCAATGCCAAAACTGCAAAATTGTCTTTGAAAACTTGTGCAGTCAATGAACTTAATCAAATAGTTTGAGTGAAGAATAATGATTAAATTATCTATCTCTCTGTCACATAAACTCCTATTCCTAATATTCAATTTCTCTCTGTTAATAAACTTATGTGTTGGTTTAATGTAGTTTGTTTTAGAAAATGTTGGTGAATTTACCCTATTTTCCGCTATAAGAAGCTATTACCGTAGGTGACATGGTAGACTTAGACCCTAATTTAGATGTCTCTAAAGGCAAAAAACACAATTCGTTCAAATTTTTATATATGTCCGTGGATACGCTAACTCAATTTTAGTCCAGAATAAGACAAACATAAAATGCCATAAGCAGAGGTGCCCATCCCCCCCAAACCCAGTGGCGCAATCCCCCCCCCAATTTACGCTGCCCTCTATTTCTACCTACCCTCCCCCCTCCAATTTACCTTGCAATTTCCCCTTTACCACATAAAACGAGCATTTAAAGTATTTCGTTAACTTGAGGTAAAGAAAAACAAATTTGCAAAATTATATGTTTAACCCTTCCAGGGCTAAATTAAATGAAGGGCTGGGGCTTAATTATTTTTTGACAAAAATTAAAAACTAATGTGGTTGTGTTTTGTATTTATTTCACTTGAAATAATTCATGGATCATAAGATTTTACTTAGGGCTGAACTAATTTTTGTACAAAAAAGTTATGAAGAAAATAAAAAATTTGATTTGACGGATATATCCCTCTTTGGCCCACAAAAAACATAAGGGGGACGGATATATCCGTCTGCCGCCCTCAGTGATAATCGCAAAATATGAACACTGCCAATAATCTTGAGTATTCTTGTGGGCGGCAGACGGATATATCCGTCAACCTTAGGCTATTCCTTTCCTTGTTTTATTTTTTATCCATAAAAATGTATCTATCATTCTGAAGTAAATCTAAACCACTCAGTTCCGCTCCCATGTGCTCAATCCCATTCCTCGCCAAGACTTCCACTATGTAAATACTGTTCTTCAGGTTTATCATATCCATCACATTCCATACTATTATTTTCACTGCCAAGTATAAAACCCCCCTCAGACATACTTTTATTAAGCATCTCAATAACAAATTTCATATAGTTTGCATTAGTAACTTTAGCTCAATAACATAAAAATAAAGTAGAAAACACAAAATGTTAACATCACTCACTAACAAACATGTGTGAAGTGACAGCAATATTTACTTACGCATACTCTATGGTGCAAAATAGCTGCGGCAATTATTATTGCCAAACACAAAAACAAATAACTCATTTATAATGCAGTGTAATGTTTATAACCATATTATAAACATTGTATATCAATTCGTTTTTTGGACGGATACATCCGTCATTATCCCAGAAAAGAAATTTCTCGGGATGGATATATGCGTTTTTAGCCCGGAAAGTAAACAAAGATTGACGGATATAACCGTCCATAGCCCTGGAAGGGTTAATAGGAAACGTCATTTAACAATAAAAACTTAATATATCTAATTAATGGACCAATTAAGTTTTTCAATTCACAATTAGAATCTGTATTTTCAGCCAACACATGCTCAGTATTAAAATAGGCAACGTCTTCAAAAAGTTCAACAATATACTCAGTGAATTACTCTACTCCAACACAGTACTGTAACTGTTCAATTTATTAGGTGGTGTAAATTTTTACAGGGCTTAAGAGTTCAAATAACTTTAAGTGCACGAATAATACTTTGGCAACAAGTATCTTGTTTCAAAATTAGGTCACTAAAATAGGGCAGACTTGCTCTAAAATATAGGCAGGGGTTGCTCGCCACTCCCACTCCCAGGCTGCCTTCTACAAAAATGACCGGGCTAAATACCCAAAATACCTTAATTGCCACCAGCACGACAAGAGGTTTTGTGACGAAGTAATCTTATAATTCATTTTAATAGCCCCAGTTTTGCGTTTTGCGTTAATGGTAGTGTTTTGGCGGTTCTTTAACTCCACCATCGTCAGGCTTACAAAAGGATCCACTTTTGGAGGTGTCGTCAGAATATGTTACAAACATTAAACAAAAAACATGATTCGATAACAGATAGGCCTATCAATTAACGTGTGTTCATTGCTGCGGGCAGAACTGGAGGTAGACTGAATCAGGTTATGGCGAACCGACTCTGGATTGTCGTCCGTGTTATCTACAGCTTATATTGGACTAATTGTAGTGTAGTGACGGAGATAATTGAGTTTTCCACAGAAAATTTATGTTCTCGAAATTCTACATTACTGCGGGAAAGGTAATTTATTAAATACTTTGGAATAGTTTGAAATATTTAAATACTGTACATAATACTAGGGACAGCACAGACATTTTTAATGAAACCACTCGATTAATTATGAATCCAGTTATATTTACAACACTCTTATTTATATTTACAATAGTCTAATATCAGCTGTTGAAAACGCAGAAGACAATCCAGAGACCACGTCGTCCAACATAACATAACTTTAACCTGACTGATTCAGTTTACTTCCAGTCTTGCCGACGGCAAATTATAACGTGTGAATTGATAGGCCTATCTGTATACGTTTTGCGTTAAATGTTTGTAACATACTCTGATGACACCTCCAGAAGTGGGTAATTTTGTAAGCTGACGATCGTGGAGTTAAAGAACCACCAAAACATATGTAGCAAGTAAAATTTGACCCTACCGTACCGTGGACTGTGTAGCAAGGTGTGTTTTTACCATTCTTAGAAGCAATCCTAATTACAAATGGCAAAATGTTGTTGGTCTTGATAGTGAACTACCGTACTTAGAAAAATTTTTCGGGCTGCTTATACAAAATTATACATTCATTATGACAGCTAGTAAAATTAATATCCCCCCCCAAAATGCCCCATAAAAATCCCTCTCCCCAAGAATTCCTGTAGCGCAAACGTGCCACAGTCAGTACCCCCCCTCTGGGCACCCCTGCACATAAGTAAGGGTCTAAAATGACTAGATTTCTGTTTAAGTCGGCCTGATTTTTAAGAATTATTTATATCTTGGGAATTTTTCAAGATACAAATTTCAAAATGTGTATTTTAGTAGGTAAAAAGAGCTTAGTAAGTTTCGTTCCAATATCTCGAGCCGTTTCAATATGGCGGCGGTTTAAAATCTTTAATGCCAAATTTCATGAAAACCGTTAATATTAAAAATTGTTTTTCAGATCAAAAAGATAGAGAATTTAATTCCAAATCAAATGAGACCTTATTTGTTAAAATCGGATGACAAACAACCGAGTTATTAGTTGTTTTCTACACACGGTTAGCAATTTAATAGGACTTCCATATTGTTTATTATTTGTTGTGTACTTACAGAGCAGCACCTGTTTTCCCAATTGGCTGAAAACCCTTGATAATATTTCAGAACACAAAGCTTCTTTCAGCAAATTGCCCATAAATGGAATAAGCTATATTACTGTTAGGTGGTGCAGTAAGACCTAGGCCCGGAACCGATTTACTTTTACGTTTTGAGGTTCCGTAAACCCCCTCCCCCCCAGAGACAAAAAACGTGTGTGTGTGTGTGTGTCCAACACCACAGCTCAAGTAATTTTGGTCCGATTTTGATGACATTTGGCTAGGCCTATATTTTGATAAAATCTAGCTAATTTGTTTATATCATACCATATTATAATTTTTTCACAAAAAACACTTTTTCCCTTTCTTGTGGCAGCAAACCTACGTACTCATTAAAACTAATGTTATTTTTACTAGGGAATAAATCTGACACGTTTAAGGATAAGTTTTAGATAAATTCTAATCAGACAAATGGAAATTCACTTGGTCTGTAGGCTTGCTGCGGCTCGGGTATTTTTATTTAAATACAGTAACCTTCCTCACCAACTAGTGGTTCAGAGCAGGGTTCAGATGAGCCAGTTTGGATAACAAGACTGTGTTTAAATAATTTTGGAATATAAATTAAGCAATTTTTATCCTTGCAATTTGCATAATGCCATTTAATACTGATGTAACATACCTTAAATATCAAATCAATTATACTTACTCGGTTAAATTTGGGTCTTAACAGTGGTTTGAAATCAGCATCTGCGTCTTCATCTTCATCTAAAACAAATTATCATAATGTATAAAAATAAAAATATAGTCGAAATGAGTTGGAACCTTTTGATTATTTACCATAATTTATTGAGTTTGATTTATTAAGATTTTCTCACAAGATGTGTCGGAGGTCATATTTCATGTTCATTGGTCAATAGTAGAATTACAAGTAGGCTATATTGATTCCATGTAAGTAAATAACCAATTTACTGCAATAATCAAATAGTGTTAAAAAAGATTCACAGCTAGCTGTGAAATTATTATTGGTTGGGCATCATTTTGAAGTGAAAAGTTCTTACTGCTCAGTGAGTTGGTCATGTAGAACTTGGTTAGTTCTGATACACTAAGTTCTTCTGAGTCTTCAGTTGAGGAGTCAGTTGGGGGTTTGGATGAAGTTTCCCTAGATGATCCAGCTTGTTGTTCTGCATTGGATGTGGATTCCTTTTGTTCCGCTTCTAAAGTTTGCAGTTTTTTCATTTGTTCCTTCAGCAGTAAAGCCTAAATAGAAAGCATTTATATACATTAGTACATAGTACATACATGTCAGGTTCACGAGCTCGAGACTTTATAAGCCGCAGACCAAACTGATAGGCTCTACACAATTAGTGCAGGGATAAAACCTGGTTTTAAAAGTTGTGTTCACGAGTCCAATTACCAGATAGTCCTGGTTTTCGATCATTAATCCAAGTTTGAGTCAAGAAGCAGCCCCTAGGTCTAGCCTGAAGTAAGGTGAAAAACAATCCCGGACTCGTGCCTAGCGTCCTAGGACAAAAAACAAACAAAAAAGACAAAAAAAAAGCATGGCAACCCATAAGGCCCATGTTAATATTTTTAAATTTTAAATTAATTTTTTGCCTATTTTAATTTGTTAAGGGATTCTGCACATCTACGGGCAAATACCTTTCTAGCAGTATGCATAGATTTCCCCTGTGATGCACAATAAACATGCTTGTCTATTAATATACAGGATGGCTGGTCATCAGTGTGACAAAATTTTTTTGCCGTAAGTACAAAGTAAATGCAGTGTAATGATGCATATAAAAGGTTCCAAGTCCATTTACAGGTAATTGCGAAATAGCTGTACTAAGTTTGAAAACATAGTTATTTTTGAAAAAACATAAAATAATTCTTTGAGAAGCTAATTTTTGGACTTGGAACCTTTTATATGCATCATTACACTGCATTTACTTTGAACTTACGCCAAAAAAAATTTTGTCACACTGATGACCAGTCACCCTGTATAGAACTAGCCCCATGTTAAATCTCCATAAGAAAAGTTTTGACCCAATTATCATAAATATTCTCAAAATACAAATAAAACCTGCACACAAAGAGCCGATAACCTTAAAAAATTATGTAAAAATGGTAAAAAGGCTCATAAAACGTACAAAAATTCATCAAACAACTTGAAACAAAAAATAAATTATGCACGTAACAAAGTAGTATCATTACAAAGATGATCAGCTAATTTACCATATAGGGAATAAGGGAGTGTTGCTGAAGGTCTAAATCCCATAAGCTTTGACTACTAAAGTAGTCATTTTAAAACTGAACGTTAAAATATTCCATTCCACTGAACTGCTCAGTGACGTGTGCCAGCCGGCCAAATATGTTAAACGTCGCCGTGTTCGTGTTTTGTATGTGTGTTCAATGTAATTAAGAAGATTTGACGACATTCAATGAATGGTATATTTTTACGTTCTGTTTTAAAATTACTATTTGGTAGTCGAAACTGGTCAACAGAAGCTCGACTGAGGAATTGTGAACGTCAAGGAACGTAACCGTTATAATTGATTACCAATTCCGGAAGGCTTCAACATGAATGAAATGTAAATTGATCCTGTGTCCAGGTCTTACCATGAGACCTGTGGAAAAAGCTTTTTCCCTATATGTAAAATTTGCCAAAAAGAGCTTAGAAAGTATGGATGCCCATCCCATAATATGTTAACAACGCATTTGTACAGATGTTGGCTGGTGGTAATCCATCAGACGAGTCTCTTATGATATCAATCCAAAGATTTGTTATACTTCTATATGACATAACACCTTAACAGCGTTAATGAATGTAGACGTGTACTTTATAACGGACATTAGCACCATAACTCATAAAAAACTATCCAATTTTGATTAAATTTGGTACAAACGTGTAATCCTGTTTAACGTGTTTACTCAAATGAGTTTGTAAACCAGCATGATCGGACCATGGGAACGGGGTTTTCTGGGGGGATTTATGGGGTAATATTTGGGTTTGAATACCTAAAAAAAGAAATAATTGAGTATAATTGAAGTGTTTTTGTATGGTTATTGGTTACAGATAAATTTCAAAAGTTCTAAATTTATAACTCCCATGTTATTCTTATAGAGAATAAGTAAACTGTTGTAGTTAGCTCATTTATAGATATATTTTGATAAAAACTTGGTAAATTTATCTATTTTAACCTAAGCAATTAATATTTTAATATAAAAACACACTTTAATGGACATAAACTATTTGCTGATGGTAATTGTCTCAAAAACAAATAAATTTCAGTGATGATACTTTAGTGAGATTATAAAAGAAAAAGGTCTCTTTGAAATAAAAGTCGATATATGATATACCATTTAAATAAAATAATGCTAAAACATGTCATCCATAGAAAATATTAATGCAAAATAAAGCTTACACTACTTCATTACCTGGTAATTAACCTTTTTACGGGCGCGTCTTGAACGAGTTGAATCAGATTGAGCTGTAAGCTCTTCAAGGGTCACATTTAAATCCTGAAACACAACACAGATAAGTGGTATAAATATCTGTAAGAGCAAAATATTGCACTTAAGTGATAAATAAAATTTAAAACAAGCATAAGTACTTTTAAAACACACGTAAGAGTTATCTTTTTAGTAAAGGAATGTAAACAGTTCAAACATGAAAAGGCTTGAAAAGATTTTCTTGAACCATTAAGTTAGTCTAAAAGTTTACTTGACTGATAGAATTCATTTTTAAATATTATTTGCACGAATAATCAAGAAATTTACAACCAGAACCAAACACACACAATGAACCAAACACACACAAATACACACACTCACACAAACATAAAATGTGTTTATGTTAAGAGTTAGTTTATGTTTGACTGCCACCGCATTAAGTTTTTATTTTAAATTCAGAACTCAACAGGTTAGACGTTACACATACGTTCAATAGGTAACACTTAACAGCATACATTATATGTTGTATTATAGTGTTATATTCCATATCATATCTATTCTTTGTTACATATATTACATCTTCTACCATATGCTGGACAGTTTCTTTTACCGTGCATCCTACCACAGTTTTTACAAGAGTAGACATCCGTTTTACAATCGTTATTATAGGAAGGCTTAAGACTATTATTATCAGTATCATTATGTCTATGGGTAGCTCCCTCTGATGACTTATGGTTAAAAGAACTACTAGTCTTAGGCCTACTTGAATTCATCTGGTTGTGTTGTGCCATATATCCAGGACGAGTGCTTACTGTGTCGACACCAGGGTGTTGTCCTTGGAGCTCCTTGGCCTGTTCTCTCCCATCTCTGTTGCTCGGCAAAGCATGACGATCTTATCCAGGCTTAGGTCGACTTCCCTGAGCATCCGTTCTTGAAGAGATTTATCTTCTGTTCCCAGGATTATTCGGTCTCTGAGGAGGTTATCTTGCTGGTCCCCAAACTCACAGGACTTTATCAGCTTTTTTAAATTAGTCAAAAAATTATGAATGGTTCTCCAGGTTGCTGATTTCTCATATTCAATTTAAACCTTTCCATCACTACATTAGTCTTAGGACTAGCATAGTCATCAAATCCCTTGAGCACAGCATCATAGTCTTTCCTTTCATCTTCAGTCAAGTCAAATGTGTTAAACAAATCCAAGGCTTCTTCTCCAATGATATTAAGTAGAATAGCACATTTAGTTTCTGAATCCTTGGAGTTATGTCCTGCAGCTTTCATAAATATCAAGAAACTTTATTTAAATCTCTTGAAATTTTCGTTTAGATTTCCACTTACGAGGGACAAAGAGACAGGAGGCTTGAATTCCATTGTTAGGCAATGTTAATTAATAACACAAACAAACCAATGTTAGGCAATGCCAATTAATAACACAACAAGTTTTAATTCTTAGTCACATTCTTAACCCCACTTTCACCTCACACACACTAGAGTTCAAAATCAATGTTCATGTTCAGTCTTTCCACACTTTTCTAATTGTTTTCCTGCAGCAGCAGCACCATATTATACGACCACTGAGGTATGGAAATAACTGACGGTCTTCATAATTTAAACTTGATTTATTACGATAAAGTTATGGAACAAAACATAACATAGTCATAGTAGTTGTGGATCATAATTACAGCAGCATGTCAGGCATAAACGGAGGTAGCCTATGTACAAAATAATATACAAAACCAGTGTTACCATCAAAACAAATTACATAGCCTAACCTAAAGTAAGACAAAGAATAAATACGATATGGAACATAACACTATAATACAACATGACCTATACCTTTTAAATCCAACTTCTTTATTTATATTATGTATTGTAGGCTATATATTTTTCTCATATACAGATTTTTGATATATAAATAAAACTGAAATCGAGGACATTCAATACTTTATAAGGCCACTTAGAAAGTTTGCTTACACTTGCTAAAATATGCAGTTCTTCTTGAGGATCAATTTCCGGCTCCAATGACTCTTCTTGAGCGATAGTTTCTTCATCATCACTTTCATCCATAATCAAAAAAGAAGGATCTGCTTCATGCTCGTCAGGTGGTAAGGTTGGATCCATCTCTAAACGTTTCCAAAGATTCACACTGAAATGAACAAATATTACTTAGGCCATATAACCAGAAAACAGGAGATTTGGTATAAAATCAGTTTTAAGCTGTTCAACACTAGGCCATATATGCACGTTGAATGTGCAGAATAGAAATTAATTTTTAGGTAGGCCTACCTAATTTAAGAAGGCTACGTTTAAACAGCAAGCTCTTGCTCGGTTCACTCTCGATCTCAAGCTGACCTAGGGAGTTCATATTGAAAACTTGTGCAAAAGGTTAGCAAAAACAAGTTCTCTGTTCAATAGGCGAGAACTAACTTAAACTAGTGCCCAAGTCTTACTTGCTTGTGGTGTACTATTTATTTTTAAGATAGCCATGTTTCCTATGGTCTACAGCTATTGGGCTATGCACCTAAAAGTACTTAAGCAACAGAAAAGGGTGGTGAAAATCATCACTTGTAGCGGGCGGTAGATGACTGTAGGCCACTCTTTGTAAGCACAGGTCTGAACTCTTTAGCAGCTACATCCTTTCCTCTGAGAACAAAGTTCATTCTAACCGGAAACCATTTTAGGCCCGGTTCACAAGAACTACATACCTAGCGGACTAGGTAAGCACGGCTGGGTAGCGGACCACAGGATCACACCGGTTCACACGAGCGACATGTCCACGGACTAGGTGTAAATATCGATATCAAAACCACTCGGATCCATCACTAGTGCACAATGAGAACAAAGGTAAGAATGCGAGCTGCAGCGCGACTACCCGATCGCTCGTGTGAACGCTCCCATAAGGCTACGTGTATTGCTACGCAGCTCGACTGGGCGACTGGGTAGCTGCCACGAGTGAGCCTAGTCTGCTAGGTATGTCGTTCGTGTGAACCAAGCCTAAAGGGTTAAAGTGTACAGCAACAAAGCTAGGGGCAAACACAATTATTTACTTCATGTTGACAGCCTCTGAATCGCTTTTTTCAATAAGTGAATGAATGGTTTAATTACCTTTACTGTCAAAGCGATCCTTGTAGTCTTAGTAGGCTACTGCAGTTTCAATACCTTTTCATGGTATCTTCTTCAGGCTAGGGACATCATCTTCGTTCGTTTTCACGAACACGTCATTTTGAATAAAAACCATTGAACACACGGACACGAACACGAAACATTTAAACGACACATTAAACATAAACTGTACAAATACTGGGACGGCAAGAGTGTGTGGTGGCGCATGCGGACGGTTGGTCTAGACTACCGGTTGTTATCAGTCCACGCACATTCTTCCCTCTCCCCTCCCCTTCGTCAGATGCGATCCTTTTTCTTTGAATTCATATCACCTATTCTGATTGCCGTTTCGTAAATGATGTTTGATTTAAAGGCTCTCTGTTCATTTAAGGTTTTGTGAGGTTAGGTTAGGTTAGGTTAACAGAGAGCCTTTAAATCAAACATCATTTACGAAACGGCAATCAGAATAGGTGATATGAATTCAAAGAAAAAGGATCGCATCTGACGAAGGGGAGGGGAGAGGGAAGAATGTGCGTGGACTGATAACAACCGGTAGTCTAGACCAGCCGTCCGCATGCGCCACCACACACTCTTGCCGTCCCAGTATTTGTACAGTTTATGTTTAATGTGTCGTTTAAATGTTTCGTGTTCGTGTCCGTGTGTTCAATGGTTTTTATTCAAAATGACGTGTTCGTGAAAACGAACGAAGATGATGTCCCTAGCCTGAAGAAGATACCATGAAAAGGTATTGAAACTGCAGTAGCCTACTAAGACTACAAGGATCGCTTTGACAGTAAAGGTAATTAAACCATTCATTCACAATTATTTACATCCCCTTACATAGGATCTTCCTCTTTTTAAGTCAAAAATTTATAACTGGCTTGCAGCTAACCCATTCTACTCAGTTTAGGACTTCATGATATTTAAATTAAAGCGGAATCTTTCATACTATAAATTAAGAATTCTCAATCGTTATTCTCAATCTTTGTTATGGTACCTATAGATATGAACATGTTTAGTAATACAATAATATTTTATTTAATGTAATTTGACAATGCTTATTCCATGTACAGCTTGGTCAATGGCAATAAACTTTCTTATTCTTATTAGTAAGACCCAAAGATACTTTTCTGGACATTGCCCTTGGACTATAACAAGCTCCTTGACAGAAAAAAAACTCAACATAAACATTCAAAATCAAACAGCTTGGAGGGACTTAGTAGTCTCCTGAGAGCAAAACCGAACAACAAGCTACGTGAGTTTCTTGACAACAATGTTCCTGTTTGAGTACCAATATCACCGCCATTACTGGTAGGCCTACTAATAATTCCTTTTGTAAAATGTTTTAGAAACTCTTGTAGGCTAGTGTAAATATATCATTAAAGGTTATAGGCTAGATCATTAACTTAACAATTGACACAGCTTATCCAGTCTAATCTGGTTCCAAGCAAAGGAGGAGGCAATATAGTACCGGTATAGTGTTGCTATATTTTGGCTGAGCTAAATCAAGGACATCCACCTACATGGGTTGGAAGGATAGGGTACTCTCTATGGGAAGTTATTAAAAATCTAATCTATAGCCTACCGGTAAACTTACATAAAATTTAATTTTACCACAGTACATTACTTAAACGTAGTCGTAGGCCTATTGTCACTCATCAAAACTAAACTAAACACTCTGAAACATATCTAACAGTCACAGAAAAAAAAGGCAAAACAGAGTAAGTTAATAATATGCCTACATGTGCAATTTGTTGTTTATATAGGCCTAATCATTGATAAAATGAACTAAGTAAGAATAAGACATACTAGATACTGTATTACAACATTCACAACATAGAATCCACCCAACTTGCTTCACAGACTTCTTGTAAGATGGGTTGAAAGTTTAAACAGGATAACAGTAAAACTAAAATATAGAAGTCCTAAAGTGATTTTTGGAAGAAGAAATTATTTTTAAAGTCTTAACTCTTAAGACTTTTTCAGGAAGGCTAAACGTATAACTTAGGTATAGGCTATCAAAAGATCAGTGATCGTCCCAGAAAGTATAAGGCTCACTGAAAATAGCCCAAAATGACAAACAAGACAATCCGCTGTAAAACAGACCTCTCGTAACAGCAGAAAGTATATTTGTTTGGCTTTTTGATAACGATCTTGGTTGAACATCAACTTAATCTCAGTTAATTCATTAATTGCCTAGCCTATATTTTAAAATGATTTTTTGACTCAACTTAGCCTACTTGATAAACAATAATGATAGGCCCGGGTGTTACAAAGAAGATTGCCTAGCACTTTATACCGGCACTTTTATATTACCATAAACTTAGTTAAATTAAACTCTTTAATTTGCCTTGTGTTAAACCAACTGGTGATTTGTAGGCTACATCCAATGATAAATGTGTTTTAAATATATCCAATGGTAAAAATGCTTCTTGTACTACTAAGTTATGTTCTTGTGAAAAAATAGTTATAAAAGCAATTTAGGCCTACAATACAGTAAGAAAAGTTCCTGAAGCCATTTCAAGGTAACTTATTCCTATGAGGTTAAACAAAGATTTTCCAGTTCGCAGAGGATACGCGTCCGGTAACCAGACGTGGATAGGCGTCTGGCAGTTACTGTCATAACCTAACCTAACCAACCAAACTTGCTGATAGTGAAAAAAATCAAATGAAGGTTCAATTCTCTTCATAACATATAATTATAAATGCCAAAAATTCTAACAAAAGATGTACAGTTCGGAAGAAATTACATTCAAAACAAAATCTGTGACAAAAAGTAATAAAAAACTGATGGGTTTCGAACCAGGGACCTCTTGGATACCAACCGAGCACTCTATCCACTACACCACGAACAACGCTGGCTGAACATCGTATCGTTGTGGTAATAGCGTTCCGGGACCCCACAACCCGGTGACGTCACTACCGGACGCCTAATCCACGTCTGGTTACCGGACGCGTATCCTCTGTGTTTCCAGTTACTCTAATTAGGCTATATAATATTCTTACATAAAATTCAGAAGTATCCACGACTCAGTCATAACATTCGGGACTCTCCTAGGGAAAAAATTGGATGGTGGTTACTCACCTAGGCCCTACATTAAGTTAAACTGTCTTCCTTTGCATAAGCTTAAGTTAACCTTACGCACCTTTTGCATTAGCTGCTTAATTTGCAGACCTTGGCTTTTAATGTTTTTTCTTTGTATTTTATTGCATGTTGCATGACAAGATTTATTATTGTGTTTAGTTATCAATGAAGAATCTGAACTGACCTCATCATACAACTAGGCCTAACTTATAAGCAGGCTTTTAGGCTATGTTAATTGTATTCCCTAAAAGGGCTGTCTTTACATGGGAAATTGATTCTGGACAGATTCCTGGCTGGTTTTACTAAGTTATTTCATTCATAGTTAAGTTAGTAGTTACGATCATTAAATCAAGAAAGGTTGACTACCTTTTCAAAAAATGCATATCAACTTATATACATACACTGTAAGTAAAGTATTTCATGATGTATGCCTAAACAAGACAGTGCATGCAAGGCTAGGCCAATGCAATAATAAACCATTAAGAATTTAAGTACAGTATTGCTATTACTCACTTAGATAAAAACCATTACTTATCAGTGGGCATGATAAGTTTTTTTATGTACCATTTAAATAAACGCCAACCTAAATTTAAATCATAAATCTTTTGTCTGTAATCTGTGAAAGATTGTTTGGATTTTTGACATCAACAGATCAACTCACAAACACAAGAATTAAGAATTTAAACACAACACAAACACAAACACAAACACAAGCAAAGCGATATAAACATACTCGACTCAAGTGGGGGGGGGGGGGGGGCCTAACATAGAAAAAACTACAGTGAGCATAGAGTTAACAATTAATAGCACCGTTTCTGTGGGACCGCATAGTGCACAATCACGGCCGCAAAATCCCACAATGCCTAATAGTGAATTTGTTGCACAGTGCCATAGACTAACCAGCACAAGTATACTGTACTTCTCATTCTATTGTAAATTTTAACGCTCGTTTTTCGTGTCTAGTTCTTGTTGGTGACACTGATCGCTCGTGTCTACGAAATTTTGTTTCTATATTTTTAGGGTCAATTCAATTTCATGTTTTGTGCTTTACTGTTTGGTTATATAATTATATATTATATAGTGGATGTAGCCTCCGGTTTACCAACGAATGTTTAACATATAAATATTAAGGATGTAACGTCTTTAGGGCAATCCTAAATTATTGCAATTTTTAAGGCCTCGTCTTCTCTGACCACGTCCACGGCCGTGCCACGTCACACATGGCTTCGCAGTGCACGTTAGGAAGGCTGAGAGGGCTGTACAGAAATCTGCTGCCAGAGTCTGCGAAGCTGCGCCTCATGCAGTCACTAGTTCTGTCAGTGTTTTCATATTGTGTCCCTGCTTATGGAAACAGCATCTCTGGAGAAGCCATGCACCGAATGCAAAAACAGAAAATTCTTCCATTAATTTAATTTTTTGGGCTCAAAAAAGTTGAACATGTCTCTTCATTCAGAGCTGTAGCAGGGATGACAACAGTAGACACTGTTTGCAGGATCATTACGTGCTTCATGGTGCACAAGGCCCCATGTCGTACCGGAGCCATAAATAGTACCTTCTTGAGAGGCTCTTTTTTTCAGCACAGTACCCACCATGGAAGTCTCCAGCTTAGCACTTTCCAAGAGCGAGGCTTGAGTTTGGAAGGAGAAGCTTCTCGTACTTCGGCCCAAAGCTAGCTATACAATGACTTCTCATCTGGCCTCAAAAAATATACCTTGTCATCTTTTAGAGTAAAAATTAAAGAATTGTACACTATGATTAGTTTATCTCTAATGTTATTTCGATTTTACTTGTTTTTGTTTTAGTGAATTTCCCATATAGGGAATAAGCTATTAACGTAGGTCTCATGGTAAGACCTGGACCCGGGACTGATTTACTTTTTTGTTTTGAGGTCCCCAGAGACCAAAAACACCATCCGTTCAAATTCATATATATATGTGTCCGTCAGCACGATAACTCGAACAAAAATCATCCGATTTTGATGAAATTTTGTATAAACGTGTATTTATTCGAACGAGTTCGCGAACCAGCATGATCGGACCATGGGAACGCGGGTTAATGGGGGTCTTTATGGGGTAAAAATGGGTTTTTCCCATTTTTGACCCTAAAAACGTAAAATTTTGGAATTTCTTTGCCAACCATTATGTAGAGCTTGAAAAAATAAATAATTTAGTATATTAAAGCATCGTTGTATGCCTAATGGTTACGGAGAAAATAAAAAAAAATTAAAATTTAAAATTTCCTTGTTAGTCTTATGGAGAAAATGAAAACTGTTGTAGTTTACTTGTTTTTTTTAAATATATATGTTGATCAAATTTGGCAAATTTATTTATTTCATCCTATACTATTGACGTTTGGTCAAAAAACACTGTTTATCTCCCCTGTAGCAGCAAACCTAAGCACTCGTTAAATCTAATGTTATTTAAATTGGGAATAAATATGTCTTATTTATGGTAATATTTGAGTAAATATGTAATCAGACAAGATGAAATTCACTTCGTCTGCAGGTTTGCTGCAGCGGGGGTATTTTATTGTTTATATTATTTGTTTGTTAGTTATTGTTACTTATTGTTACTTAAGTAACAATAAGTTAATGTTACATCCTTACATCCTACATATACATGTAAATTGTTCTGAAAAGCAGTTGTACTGAGAAACGCTTGATCGATTAGATAGTGATTGCTTGATCGATTTGGTCGATTCAACATTAAGTTCACAACTTTGTTATTTTTTTCTGTTTTTGATTATTTTATGTTGTAAACTTAATATTATAGTAAAAAGGTCAACATTGTACTTAGTAGCAAATTTGACGGAATAAATCATTCATTCATTCAAGATAAAGGCATTTTTATTTATTAATTTATTCACGGGAAGTAAATAAAAGAAACGTCTTATAACCCTTAAATATATATTTACGCTTATACTGTTACTCACAGAACGGTAAATAAGAACGCTCGTAGGCAGTGTAGGTAAATTATCAAATACACTTTTTTAGGACTTTGTAGACTTGTTGTACACTTCTATACTTACTATTATTATAGTTTTTTTTCTTTTTAAGCAATTCGTGCGGAGTATTTGTGGAGCTTAATCCATATTGTAAAAAGGATGCAAATAACTGCTTCATACGAATAAATAAATAACTTCTTAAATTTAATAACACTTAGGCCTACTGGCCTACAATGCTGATCAAGAAGTTTAGAACCAAATCAATACTATTTGAGTTTAAATACTCTCAGCTTAAAAATTAAAGAGAAGGTGATTCGAACAGTTATTCATTTTTTAAATGAGTATAGATATTTGGATAGATTATTGTAGAAATGTAGAACGAGTTAGTTGTAGATAAAGCGTAGTTTGTCTTATCTGAAGTGAAGTAATTCCTATTGTGAGGACAATGAAGTACTATAAAAATTAGTAACATATTACTTGTAATTTATAAGTGGAATTCTTAAATATGTTAATTAATAGGATAATTACTGAAAAGCTATTAAATAGTGAGCATAGAACGGAGAATGGAACAAAAGTTTATTATTAAAATTATTAAGTTGTTGTTTTCTGAATTTACTACTATGATTGAATTACAATTGATTTTTAACTTGTGTATTATTCCAGCTTCAAGAACGAATTATTAATAAACTAGTTTACCTTGTGGTTGCCAGATTCTTGAAATGTGTAGATATCTTGCTCAAGATATGCTCAAGATATAAAAGAGCAAGATATCTACACATTTCAAGAATCTGGCAACCACAAGGTAAACTAGTTTATTGATTTTTAACCTCCCAATAATTTTCATTTGTACTATTGCTGATTCAAAATTGAATACTCAACTAGGTTAAATAAAACAAGACTTACCTATTAGGCATTCACTTGATGCGCAGACTTCATAACAAGACTCGAAACATAGACAGTAAAATAATTAATTAATGCTACCAGCGATGCATAGATATCAATATACAGTACCAACCTTTATAACCAGACGAAATGATTAAAGATAACAAACAGTTAAACAACTAGGCCTATTTAGTTACAGTTTTATTTTGGAATGATACATTTACGTTCAATTTGGTTTGCTTGGATTTATGACCAAGCTAACCAATGGGATACAGTCAATGGTTACCAAAGGAATATATTTATTAGATTAAATCACTCCTAAAAAGAATTAATGACATTTATCGTTATTACGTGTACTTAAGATGGAAAATAAATTTGGTTGAGTAACACATTCCTAATTAATTAAAGTAAAAATATATTCTATAAACTAACTCTAGCATGAACATGTGTTTTGTTATATTAATTATTAATAGAACAGTAACATACGACAATGTTTTTAAGATTACAATATAGCGAGACTACTAGGGTAACAGTAGGTCCAACCGGCCAATAAAAAACTAAATACCACACCTCAGCAAACCTGCAGACTGAGCGAATTTCTACATGCCTGATTGGATTTTACCAAAATATTTCCTTAACATTTAATACATATTCCCTATTTATTTATTAGGTGAGTACTTGAGTTTGCTGCGAAAAGGAATGTAATGAAGTGTGGGTTTTAGTAAAATTATATTAGCTTAGTAAGAGATAAATATTTTTCTAAATTTGATCATATTACATTGAGAGTGTGTGCCATTTGGCAAATGTAGTCACATTGTTTGAGGAAACTTAAAAAGGTTAGAGTAGTCCAATATCATAGTATAATGAATGCTACCACCTCAATTGTATGTAGTCTCCTCAATCACTGAGCTCGCTGCAAAGGCTTCTTTGAGCTCTGTTTTAATCGTTTTAACAGTACATATAAAATAAGTTACATTTACGGGGCTTTTAAATACTGTAGTCATTTCACTGGAACTTACGGTACATCGTAACTCAAGAACTTCAACTTTGAGTGTTAAGTTCTAGAAGTTAGGTAAACTAAGTTATTATTAAAGTAAGAAATTATTCTTAGGTTTTTTTACTTATAGAATAGTCAATTCTCTTAGTCATAGCTATCTATGGTGACCAGTATTAACAAAACTTGCATAGAATATTCATTATAAAAAAAATCAAAACTTACAATTTTAAATGTTGATTTTAAAAGGATTCAGTTCGACAAAATTTTTCTACTTTGGGCATAATGCATATAACTAACTCGCCTATATTTTCATACAATATATCATGTAGAACAATAACAAAAAATAATTTAGTTTCTAGGCTAAGAGACGATCACACCAAGAATAGAAATTTGATTGCCATTTCCCAAGGGCTAGACATTTCAAACACAAAGTCTTCTTGTGCCGAGTGTAAACCTAGACTGCCTGAGAGACTGAGCGACATAGAACCGTCTAAGCAGGAGATTTTTAAGAACAAGTTTAACTGTTTTGACAAATACTAAGTCAACGTTGATAAGATGTAAATATATAATTAATTTTTGTTTCTAAGAAAATACCGAAAACAGTCTATACATTTTAAGTTCTATTTGAGATTAATTTAATCACTATTCAAACTCAACTGTTTTAATTTTACATTGTAAACTAATCACATCCAATTCAATTGACATGTCGTCGTTGGTGAAACCATTGACACCTACCTGTGTGCATAATCAGTTGATACACTGAAATAACATAAATAGAGAAGAAATGTTTAATCTTTAAGGCCATACCCACCTATAAGCCAAATTCCATTAAATCGGACCGAAATTATTCAAGCTATCGCGTTTACGGTCACACATACAGAGTGT